TTTACACATTATGATGTACAAATACCTAAACATAGCTGCTTTCAGTTTGCATATTGATTCAAGATGTGCAAATCTGGTAGTTTTTATCCAAATGTGAATAGAATTATATTCTTCCTGCTCCCTAGAGGACAGAGCTTGCTTTCAGGAAGAAAACAAGGAAAACATGCATCAGAAAAGCTATATCCCTCTCTGGCTGGTGGACTGGACCAGGTTATCTGTTTGTACCAACTATTTCTAAACTACCTTTCAGATCATAAAATTTCTCACAAGATAGTATGCACATCTCAAGTACTAACTCAAACATTAACACAGATATACATTTGGAAATGAAAACTATGGATTAATTTTAATTAATAAAATGCAAATTAAAATGAAGTATTTTTCTGCAGAAATTACTGATGACAGTACCACAATAATTTCTTGAAGAAGTGAATTCCATTAACGTGGAGCCATCACCACAAAAGCCGTGCTCCTGGTAAAGCTAACATCATTTCATCAGAGGCCAGAAAGCAAAGCCTTTGATACTAATCTTAAAAGTTCCCGGTAGATATGTACAGGATTTCATTACATGGATGAAAGTAGTGCTTCCTTAAATTCTGCCTCCTTAAATTTGCCTGCACTGCAAATATAAAGTGTACCTTAATGAGAATGCCTATTCAAATCAGCCCTCTTCTACTTTCTCTTGCAGAATTCAAGCCTGGCACAAAAACTGTGCAAAAGACTCAAATTCACTTCCCAGTGTCATTTGTGAAGATGGTTTCTGGGCTAAGAATATGGTCTTAATGCACAGCAGTGTTCTCATCTCTCAGCATTTTGCGTGTTACGGGTTGCATTGGAAATCTGCACTCAGTGCTGTGGGAATCTCAGGTTTCAGTAAAATTATATGAAGTTGAGTTATTTTGTGCTTATTGAAGAAAGGTTGTAAATCCTAGAAGCTTAGAAGCCAAACTGATGGAACGCACAAACATCTATTGACAAATGTTTGGGATTTTTCACATTTTCTTATGACTGTAGGTAGAAGAGCACGTCTGACAGTCAAATATACAGTCAGAAAGTCCTGATATCAATTCAGAGTTGAGTGTGACTCAAGCATTTTCATGGCACTGTCGTTTTACCAAAGACTCATTCACCCTTTGCCTCTCGGTATTTCTTCAGTCCTACTGCCTTTCCTATGGACAGTTTACATTTATAATACAAAGCAGTGCAGGTGACATATGAGTACCCTCTCACCCGGAGTACAAACCTCCCTGCCCAACCTTCATCACCTGCTGCAGGACTCTGCTAAAGAATGCTTTTTAAAAGGCTGCAGCCCTTGTCCCTTGACCTTAGTTAGCTACCTCTTCTACCTCCACAGCCTGCTAAGAGCTGAAGAGGGCGAACAAAGACACTTCTGTCACCCTCTGTCAAACATGCGGGTATAGGATTGGTAGCCAGATGTCCTATATTGTCGAAGGACTGTACTGGGGGCAGGGCAATAGCTCAGTGCTAGAGCATGAAAGACTTCCCTGGCTCAAAGCCCAACATCTTCAGGTAGGGCTGAGAAAGACCCTGCCAGAAACCCAGGATTGCTGCCACTGCCCAGAACAGACAGTGCTAAGCAAAATGGATCGGTGGACTGACACAGGATACAGCAGCATCCTATGGACAAGCTGTGGCCCTCCAGAGGTGTTGGCTCACAGTCAGCAGGACTAATGTTGCAGGAAAATGGTAATCACAGGCCAATTCATTGGAATCCTGCATCACTCAGATGAGCGGACTCAGTGTTCTTACAAGGCCCCTTCCAACTCTACTATTCTGACTCTCTTATGCATCTAGAAGGCCACAACTTGCCCATCCCTGCTAGTCATTCAGCAGGGGAAACAGCAGTAGGCACAGGCTCAGGATGTCCCCTTTGGTTTCACAGTGTTAGAAGAGCAGTGGTCTAGTGATGCATTTTGAAGGGCAGGCACTCCTCACAACAAGCCCCATAGCCTGCCTGCAAGAAGAAATCTTGCGAGCTGTGATGACCCACAGCAAAACGAAACACTGTCCTGCCAGCTTTCATCTTCACCAGGAAGTCTTCTGAAGGACCTCAACGGCCCATTAAAGATCAAGCCTCTTCCAAGACTTTTCATTGCAACAAGGAATGCATGTCATTTCCTTCACTGAGCATTTCAGCTAAGCTCAAAGGGAACAGAGAATTCTGTGGACAATGCCAGCCAGCATCCTGGTAATCAAAACTTTGCGGCTACTGTCCTTTCTCCCCTACACCACAGTGAAAGTGGCCTTGTAGGCATCAAGTCCAACCTCCCATTGAGTGCAGACAGTCCAGTGCTTGGAACAGCCTCCAAAGATGGTTGTTTCGCCTCTGCTCAAAGTCTTCCTGTAAAGGAGAGCCTGCCACCCTTTTAGAGTAATCAGTTCCACGCCAAACTGCTCTCACCACCAGGATGTTTCTCCTGATGTTCATATGAAATCTATAATTTAAGCTCATTAGATCCAGCCTTTCCCTCTGGGGCAGCAGAGATAGAGGACAAGTATTTGCTCTATGTTATGCGGCAGACTATGTTATGTGGTATGTCAAGAGTGCTATTGTGTCTTTACTTCTCCAGGCTAAATATGCTGAATTCTTTTGACCTTTTTTCATGGAACTTGTTTTCCATACCATTGACAATCTCTCCTTTCAATCTGCCCCTTTTGTCTATGCCCTTTGAAAAGTGTGGCACCCAGAGCTAGACACAGGACTCCGGAGGAGGGCTGAGCAGAGCAGAATGAAGTGCAACCACAGCAAATTGTGGCTCCAGCAAGGCTGCCTAAAGTCACATTTGCCTTATCTGCAACTGCATTGCACTGCAGACTCCTGGTTGCCCCACGGCCTACTACTCTCCCAAGATCCTTCTTGCATGCTGTACTGTGCAGCCAGCGACCCCACATCCTACACGTGCTGCATTGGACTTTTCCCCTAAATAGGAAAGCTTGCACTTGTCCCTGCCGCATTTCGTTTTGTTCGTTTCAGCAGCTGCACATTCTTTCAAGGTTGCATTGGAAGTTGCACAGTCGCATTATTCTCATCTACTAGAGTGTTAGCTATCCCTCCCAGTTTGTAAGCTGTCCCTTCAACAAATATTTGGAAAAGTAGCGGGCTGGGGATATCACAGGGAGATGGGTTGAGACCTGTTTTCCCCTGCAGAGGACGGCAGGATGTGCTCCAACGGAGCAAAGCTCAGGGAGCCAAGGTTCAGTTTGGATGCCAGGAAGCACTTCCTGACAGTCAGGACCCAAAGGGCTTCCACGGGAGGCGGTTGAGGCCCCATCAGTGAGAGTGTTCAAGGATAGGCTGGACGTGTACATGGTGGGCATGTCGTGAGCGGAGTCAGCTGGAGCCAGGGGTCAGACTAGATGGCCTGGGAGACCCCTTCTGACTCACTGTTTCTATGTTTCTAACTAAACTACTCTCCTGAGCCCTGTTGCACTGCTCTGGAGGAACAACCCTTCAGCTTCATACCAGGTTGAACAGTTCCATAAAATGCCATATAACAACTTCCTCGCACAGTTCCTCAGGTCCTGCTCCTGAACCGGCTGAATACCTGTTCCCCTGGTCAGAAGAGAAGGCAAGTCAAAGAGTTGGAGGGGAGAGAAAGAGCAAGACTAGAGTTGGTGGGTGAAACTGTGAAGTAAAGATGTGAATGGGAGAGGAAGACCAAGACTATAGCTTAGGAAGGCTGAGGAAGAAGGTGAGGGGTGGGCAAAGGAGAGAAATGTGAAGAAAGGGGTTGTGGGGAGAAATGGTAAGGCTAGAGGCTGGAGAGAGTGAGGGAGAGAGAAAGGGGAAAGGTCTGTGTGGATGGGAGATCGGGCCACCCAGGAAGCACTTTCCCCTCTTGCCTGGCTCCTTCTCTCCCCACCACTTCGAGACCAGGCAGACCTCCAAGGCCAACCTCCTGGGCCCAGCCACCTCGGCACCAGGAGCCATTTTGTGGGGATGCCCTCAGTAGTTCCTCGAATTCCCAAATGTGTCCGCGGGTCCAAAAAGGCTGGGGCCTCCTGCCATAAAACCTTTCCCTCTCACCAGAAATCCAGTGCCAAAGCTCAAGAGAAGACACCCACCCAGCGCCACCAAGAGCAGAATTTAACAGGCACCAACAAAACGCTGCAGCCCAGCAGAACAGATGCTGCTCCTGCTCCTGTTTCAGATAACCCTTCGAAGGAAAGGGGGCAGCCCGCGGAGAAGAGGGAGGGAGGGAGGGAAGGAGGGAGAGACCGCACCACTGCTATAGAGTTCCGCTGCATGCCAGAGGACACGCATCGCCCCGACTCCACAACCCCGCAGAGCAAAGTTCCCGACTCCATTACAGGGACGGGCGCTCAGAGATTCCCACAGCACTGCATCCAAGGCATTGAAATCTCTCCTCGTTTCGCAGATCCAGCGAGCTGGCGAGCTGGCTTTCGCTCGTGAATAAAGAGCGGGTTAAAAGCGGCCCCGAGCGCTGCCACGCGCCCCCCGGCGCCCCCTTTATTATTTAAAAAAGAGAGCAAGATCGAGCCAAAAAAGGAGCGTAGGAGGGCTCGGGAAAGACGGTGCGGAGGGGAGGAAGGAGGGAGGGGACGACGGAGGGGACGGGCGAGAGTGGGAGAAGGACCTCTGCGCTTTAACTAGGATCAATGTGGTAGAGGATTCCTCCCCAGCGTTTTCAAGGAAGTCTGAGGCAATTAGTTCAGTCAGTAGACAGCCTGCAGCCAGCCAGTCTGGGCTGCTCCCAATGACTAGCAAGGAGCCCGAGCGAAGAGCGGCCGCAATCGTTTCCTATGATCTCGGCCGTCTGGGTTGCTCCTGAGAAAGCTTACTCTGCTCCCCGCAGCTCCGGAGGGTGTCTGCTTTGGGGCGGGCGACTTTTTCTTAGTTTTCACTTTTCGGGGGGTGGTGGGGAGAGTTTCCATTTTCCCCTGCAGGGGGCTGGTGTGCCCGCGCGCGAGTTCCTCCACGGGATCGTCGCGCGCCCGGAGGGTGAAGGGGGAGAGCAATGGGCTTCGAGCTGGATCGGTTCATCGGGGAGGTGGACCCCGACCTGAAGTGCAATCTGTGCAACAAGGTGCTGGAGGACCCGCTCACCACGCCGTGCGGGCACGTGTTCTGCGCCGGCTGCGTCCTGCCGTGGGTCGTGCAGCAGGGCAGCTGCCCGGTGAAGTGCCAGCGCATCTCCACCAAGGAGCTCAACCACGTCCTGCCGCTGAAGAGCCTCATCCTCAAGCTGGACATCAGGTGCGCCAACCGGGCGCGGGGCTGCGACCGCGTGGTCAAGCTGCAGCACCTGGCCGAGCACGCCGGGATGTGCGGCTTCTCGGAGGCCAGGTGCCGCCACAAGGGCTGCGCCGAGGTGCTCAACCTGCGCGACGTGGACGCGCACATGCGCGAGAGCTGCGAGGCGCGCCCGGTGGGCCTGTGCGAGCGCGGCTGCGGCTTGGTGCTCACCCACCGCGAGCAGCGCGCCGGCTCGCACTGCTGCCTGCAGGCGCTCAAGGCGCACAACGGCGCCCTCCAGGCCCAGCTGGCCGGCCTCGAGAAGGAGCTCAAGAAGGAGGCGCTGCGGGCCGGCAAGCGGGAGAAGTCGCTGCTCTCGCAGCTCTCGGCCGTCCAGCTCGAGCTCCAGATGACAGCGCTGCGCTACCAGAAGAAGTTCACCGAGTACAGCGCCCGCCTCGACTCGCTCAGCCGCAGCCTGGCCGCCTCCTCGCCCAGCAAGGTGAACCGCGGGGGGCGGGCGGGGGCGCCCTCAGCACGCTTTCCTTGCTCCCCAGCTTCCCGCGCCCCCTTTGCCCGTCCTCTCCCCTGCGCTCCGCTCTGGTCCTCCGCCACGCAGAGTCCTGTGGCATCTTGAAGGCGGCACCGCTTCCTTTTGGCGTCCGCTTGCGCGGCGGACTAACGCGCCCCTTCCGCAGCTGGCGCGGGGTGGTGGGAGAGACGGATCCTGCCCACGACGGCTGATGCCGCAAGAAGGGCCGCGCGCCTTGGGGCGCTTCCGCGGGAGTCGTCCGCACCGCATGCAGCGGAGCTCCCTTCTGAGCAAGAACGCTCCTTCAGTCGGTTGGCCTTCAAGGTGCCTCGGGGCTCTTGGGGAACGGACTGACGAAGCGATCCGTTTGGAATTTGGCTCTTGGGATGGCACAGTTTTCATGGAAAGATTGCTCACATCATCAAACCTGCCCTTCCGTCCGTCCTTCCTTCTTTGCCCTTCTTAAGCAACTCTATAAAGATAACCAGAGGCATTGCTAGGGAACCGCCCATTGGGCCTGAAGGCCCAAACCTCTCATCAGAAGACCTAAATTTCTGGGTCCTATAGCTGCCCACCACTTTGCTGTCTATGGAGAGGTCCAGGGGCCCTGATGATCTTGGTTGAATCTGTTCCCCCTGGAATAACTGGCTTTTTGCCCACATATGCCTCACATTCTGGTTCCCCTCTTCTGCAGTGCCCCCCCCCGCACCTCCCCTCTGTGCATGCCTTGTTAAAAGGCTGGGTGTCCTTAGGAGTCAGGATCATTTGCAGACTTTAAATCAGCATATGTAGATTTGGGCATTTTTACTTTTTCCCTTGTGTTTTTTGCCAGATCTTTTCGGTACCTACCACTGCCTCTGCAGATAACTTGTAGGATGTGCTTGCCACTCCACCTCCCCCTTTCTTGCACCTCCAATGTTTGATATCTCAGTGACAAACTGTTTCTGAGTTTGAACTTCTCAAAATGTGTCACATCTTTACATTTGGGCAACGCCAGAAGTTTGGCACAGATGTTTTGGTGAGAGGAAACATCCCTTTCAGAGAAATGTAGGGAAGTGTCCAGCCAAGTGCCAGACTTCTGGCACGAAAGTGTGTGTTTGTGTGTGTGCGCGCCTGCAATCAGGAAGATACAACAAGGCAGAAGTTTGGACGAGATAGGACTTTCCTTGTTTATTTTCTTCTCTTTCTCTTATTAGCAAGGTTTGGGGATGGTCAAATTAGCTCTCCCTTCTTTCCTTTGAAACTTATTTTCTTTCCCCTCCCCTCCCTCCCTTTGCTTACAGACATGTCTGTCAGCTGCAGCTTCAGCCAGCTGGCGGGCTCAGCATGAAGGGCAAATATTTACAGCTAAGCTGCTCACCACTAACTTGGGAGAAATAGGACCTGCCTTGGAAAGGAGGAATACAGATAGAGAGAGGGAGAGAGAGAGAGAGAGAGAGAGGAGGGGGGTGTATAATCAAAACACAGGAGAGCACAGGAGTTCCCATGCTCAGGGCACTGTACATTTAAAACAACAATGGCATTCTTCTCATAACCATGACAAGTTGCTTCACAGGGCAGTTTCTCAGGTGACACTTAAGGGTGATGGACTTGCCTAATGCAGGATTGTGTTTGTATTTCCTCTGTAACACAGGCATATCTTTTTTGCTATTTCAGTCACAAGCATGTTTGATAGGATTTATGGAAAAAATGGAGCACATTCTTAGGAAATAGAGTAGCACTCAGTTTTCTTCTTTTCATGAGTGATAGCTGAAGCTTAAATGTATTTTTGTGTTTTTCTCTTTTAAAAGCTACTGGGTATCTCTGGGTGCCTCTTATAATTGAAAAGTGCACAGATGGGAGTTTGTAAAGAAGGAGAAAGAAACCTAACTTTTGGTTTTCCCGTTTCCACACCCCACCCAAACAAAAGAGGAGTTTGATACTCCAAAATGGGATTTTCAGGACTTGGAGTGGTATTGAATAGGTATCAGCTATTACAAAGCATCATTGCTGACTAAAGAATTGCTCTCCTTGGGACTTGCTACATGTGGCTTTTCAAGGGCTTTGTAGAGTAGATGCATCACATCTGTTAGTACAACCTCTAATGGGGAAGTTCACACATCACTACAAGCCGCAATGCCTTGGTTGTTCACTGAAAAGCCCACGGTGTACCCACGCATAATCTGGCTGGGCCTGGGTTGCTCCCCCTGTCTCCCCTCTCACTGCTCCAGCCTGCACCGGCCGTATCCCAGGGTCCTTTACTGCAGAACCTGTCTTGTCTCAGGCCCTCCCAGCTTGGTTGCTACCCCATTTTGTTCTTTGCTGGAGGCTTTGTTTTGCTTTGTTTGGCAGCCTGGAAAATGCAGTTTGGGTCACTTTTTACATTGTTATCCTCATTTCTTCACCCCCTCCCCCAAGTTGTGCAACTGCTTTTGTACTGATATTACTTTTGGGCCTTACACCAGTACACTCTTACCTTTTTCTGATCTATGAAGCCTTGCCTGAATAGTTTTCTTGTCAATTTTAGCTGTCAAAAGAAAGAAAAACAAGACTGCCTATCGACTCATTTGCACACAGTTGCCTGGGCCAAGGTGCCTGACTGGCAGCTGAGAAGTGACATAGGTGCATCGAAAGGGGGCCGGGGCATTGTCACTCACTCGATAATGTGATCCTTTTCATTTTAAGTGTAGAACTGCCAGTCTCAGTGCCTCTGGCCTTTCTAACACTATCCTGAGTCTCAGCTTTCTGAGTGCTGCAGTTCCTTGGCAGTTCTAAAACAATGCACAGAAATATACAAAGTAAGTGGAAAGGAAATTTGCTCATCTGTAGTAATTGAGCAGTTATTGCAAATGTGCAAATTTCCCCTCCAATTACTTCCCAGCCATTACATTTGTGTACATTTCCGCCTTTCTTTATCCATTTGTTTTTAGCATTGGCAGATAACTGCAGTAAACACAGCAGTAAGTTCTCCTTAAGGGAGCTGCAAAGGGAAGCACTCTGTTGACTCAGAAACTGTTGAAAAGGTGAGGGCATTGAGAAGTGCCATTTCAACACACGGTGAGGGGATTACATTGCCAAGGGGGAGATACTGTTCGTCACGGGCTGCTGGGAGTGGTGGGCAGCGAAAGCCCCGGCTGCTCACTTGCAGAGTCTTCTGATGCCCTGTCTTTTGCCACTTGCCTTGCCTTCATGAGTGCTTCTCAGCTGACTGCCAGATGCTTGGCCCCTAGTAGCTGCGCACATGCTAGCCTGTATCCAGCTTTGCATTGTCCTCCCTTTGACAGCTGAAATTGGCTCAGGAATTGACCAGAGAAGACTACGGGGCAGCCCTAAGCACACACATTCCAGGAAATGTATACAAAATTACAACCCCAATTGTTCATTTTTGAGACACTGGAAAAAAAATTCTGCAGGCCAGGGAAGACCTGACAGTCCTTTCAGAGTGTTCTTTGGCACCAGGGGAAGGCCAGGCACTGGCAAGAGTCTGGAAGGAGCAGCCAGGGCAGATGCTGCTCTTGCTGTACCCCACAAGGGGAGCAGTATCCCGACAGGTTGCCCATGGGCCACTGGGCAATCAACTTTTAAGCAAGCCATGTGTTCTCAGGATGGGTTATTTGGAAGTAAGCATAGAGCTAGAAAATCCTTTGTGGTCACAGGATTCCCCTAGGAATTCCTAAAATGGGCACTGCATGCACAGTACTCAGGCCATCTTTTCTTTCAGAGTCTATCTAGAGAAACACATTCTGCAGCTTTCACAAGCATCCTGTGCTATTTCTGTCACCTTTTGCTTTTGCCTCTCATCTGTGCTTAGCAATTGTGCAAGCGATTGCTAGTGATCATTGATTTAAGAAGCATTGTCTGATGCCCATCTTAGACCTGTGCTATTCCCCTTGAACAACAGAGAGTCAGCCATCAATGGAAGCTCTGTGCATACTTTCTAAAACAAGCCGCTATCGACACTTGGAGAAGGGTACAGGATTGCGCCTGTATAGCTGTCCCCAGTGTCTGTACATTACTAGGTCCTAGCACATAGCGCATACGTGCATATAGGCTGTATGCGCATAGGCATTCATGTGTGAAAAACGAAAAAGGAATCTTGCTAGGTCGGACTGTGTTGAGCCTCCGGGTTCTCACGTGGCTAGCCTAAGGCCCCCAGCATGCACAAGATGGCGTAAGGACAGTAGCCGTCTGCCATTGCTCCAGCGGGATTCAGTGGCATGCTGCAGCCAGACATGGAGGTTTGACCTCATGCATACTGGGCATAGATGCTTGTTCAGATTGCATCATGAGCAATCAGGAAGGGTGCTTGCAAACTCTTGTGAGCAGAATTTAGGTGTCTGCAACCATGCTCCGTCCAATTCAGTCCAGTCCATCACCCTTGTCATCTGCCCCACAAACCAGAAATGACCTTTGGGGAAGGCACAGGCAGCAAGTGGAGGCGGCAGGCCTGGTGGTGTGTTCTTGCCTGCTGGGAATTCTGGGATGTGTAGTCCCAGTCCCTGGTGGGAAAAGTCACTGCACTGACCCTCTAGGAATGCCTTCTGCCACCAGCTCCCTCTTCCCCTTCCGTGATAGTATCTTGTGCTTGGGGTAGATGAGGAGGGAGGTTGTGAGCTTGAGCACTTTCTGAACAAGTTTTGTGAGCATGTGAACAGAATGCTTACAAAATACTGACCCCTTTCAGGGCAAGCAAATGTAGAAAACTATTCATAATTTTTCATGACTCTACACTGCAAAACTTATTATCTGATATAGTCCACAAGTCAGAACACAGTTTGAGGTGGAAAACTGAGAACTCACCCAGATCAAGGTTTGAGTTGAACATCCCCAGAGATACATGGTGCTCATGCAGTGCTACCTCCAAATAGTTCCACCCATCAAACTGGATTGTAGCCAAGGAGCAGTTTCAAAGAGTGCAACCCACCTTCACTGTGGTTGCCGTCACAAAAGGAAGGAAGTGCCTGGAGACTCCAGGGTCAAATCTGCTTTCC